ATATAATGGCCACTGGAAGCTTACATGGTCGTTAATTTCAGGGCCCGTGGGATTAGTTGTAGTACACGCAAGCTGCCCCAGACACTCACATTAATCTAAAAAAAAATTAAACTAGTTCTCTTTTATCTTCTTTACTTTCTCTCGAATCAGATTAAAAACAATCATATTTCTCTTTAATTAAATTAAAAATCAGGTGCAACGTGTTGATGGTTTTTGCAAGTCTTGAGATTAAACGAGTTTTCTTTAAGAGTAATGATTTTACATTGTCCTAAAACAAAAATCGAAACTCCATGGAAATTGATGGATTAAGCAGCACAAGTCAGATTTTATAAAATATCCGATTAAATATGTTTGACAGTTTGGTTATAATTATTTTTTAAAATATTTTTGATATGAGTAATTGTTTTTTATAATGTGGTTGTGGTTGTTTTTTAAAATATTTTTTATTTATAAATATATCAAAATAATTATTTTTTAAAAATTATTTTTAATATCAAAATAATATTTTTTATTTTAAAAAAATTGATATTGTATCAAAATAAAACCCCTGCCTAAGATGTGAAGACCCTTTTATCATTAATATAATTGTTTAGGGAAAAAAAATTTAAGCTCGGGAGTATTTTGAATTCAAACATCAAGCTATTTATATTTGATCGCATCTACAGATTAAATGTTTTTTTTTTATTACATATTCGAACCTTCATATAAAACTTTGAATACTAATTAGAATTTCTAGTTTATCTTAACTAGATAATTAGTTTTTATCTATTTTTATATTTAGTACTTGTTTATTTTTATATTTTAAAAAAATAAATTTTTTTAAAATTATTTCTTTACTATAAATTAAATTTTTTTAATATTTTTAAATTATTTTGATACGATAAAAAAGCTCTGGTCTAGACTCTGATCTGATATCCTAACCTTTCTCAGAATGTCCTCATAATTTCCTTACATGGCCTTGGACTGATAATTAGCTCAACGAAACAATTGTTTAGCTTGATTTATAAATGCCACCCTCCATCTATATATACACTACCGCACTACACACTCTTCAAATGATTTAAAAAAAAAAATCACTTTAAACATTTCTTTTATGCCTCATTCTTCTTCTCTTTCATGATATTTGCAGGTGAAAAGCATCCGCAGTTTCTTGGAAAAAGCCTTGTGGGTTCATCTTTCCTGGTAAACCAGGTCTCACACGTCAGGCTTTATTTTATCATGAATACAATAGTTTATCATACTTTTGATGACCATTTTATCATGAATATAATAGTTTGGGAAAAAATTTAAGCTTAGGATTATTGTGAATTCAAACATTAAAATACTTATATTTAATAGGAAGTATAGAATAAATGTTATTTTTTCTATTATATAATCATCTTTTTATATAAAACTCTGAATACTAATTAAAATTTCTAGTTCTCATAACTAAATAACTACTTTTTATTTATTTTTATAATTAGTGTCCATTTATTCTTGCGTTTTAAAATAGTTTTTTAAAAAATTAAAAAAAATATTTTTTTATTTATAAATTTATTTTTTAATATTTTTAAATTATTTTGATGTGTTAATATCATAAATAAATTTTCAAATCAAATATAATCATTCAAGATTAATACAAACAAAAGATGATAAATAAATAACTACCAATGAAGTGGTCTTCACGCTGAAGGTGTCTCCCACGGCAAAAAAAATTAATGCATTCAGTCAGTGCCTGCTGGAGAATCACTCCAAGAACCTTCATGGAAGTAACAATCCAACACAAAGCCATCTAAAATATTTACAAATAGCTATAACATTTAACTATTTATGTAGGGTTCTTTCTTTAAAATATTTTTTATTTTAAAATATTTTAAAATAATTCATTTCCGCGTGCATGACATGCTCCTCCATTGTTTTTTCAGCCTGTCCCGCTCCAGTATCAGCACACCACGCACTGCCGCTGTTTCCGGTGTTTTTTCCGCGTTCTTCCGGGAATAAAAAAAAATGTTATTTCTTCTCTTTTAATTATTTAAATATTTATTCATGTAGTTTTCATGCTTGAAGTGTTTTTTTGGATCGCACAGTGTAATTTATTGCAATTCAACTGCCAAGACAGCAGTCATGAACAAGAAAATTAAAATATTTCATTTATAAATTATGGCATGCTAGACTTCCAAACTGGGTCACCCAGCGAAGGTATAGATTTTATTGGAAGACAATCATATTAATAAATATGGGACGACGAATCACAAACTTAATCATGCATTTTTTATTTTTTATTGATTTTCAAATAAGTTATCAAACACAGGACACGCCGCACAAGGAATCACGTCCAATAACACTATTCCTCTTCTTTTTTTTTTCAATCAGATTAAAATCTCTAATCAAATTAAAAATAATTATAATTTTACCAGTTTAAATCTCATAAAAATTAAATTATTAAAAGTTTATATAATTATTAATTTTAAAATTTATTTGATTAAATAAAATATACGTAAATTAATTTAGATGCTCATATTAATAATAATAAAAACAATCATTATTCTCTTTAATTAAATTACTCTGAGAAATTTCAATGAACTGCCAAAATAAGGAAGAAAATAAAAATGTTAATAATGGTCAAAATGATTTTAAGTTTTGTTTTAAAAGAATTACTTATTTCTCAGATATTATAAATTAACGTGTGATGGCGTTACTGTCATTTAAGAGATCCTTTTTTACTGTCATTTAAGAGACCCTTTTTTTGAAACGTACTAACAATCCAACACAAAGCCTTCTAAAATATTTACAAATAGTTATAATTTTTAACTTCAGAGAGAGAGAGTGGCTATTTTTATAATATTTTTATTTAAAAATGTTATAAAATAATATTTTTATTTTTTAACATTTATTTCTTACATTAGCATATTAAAACTATATAAACAACTAAAAAAAATCTAATATAAGACAAAAAAAATTTAAATTTCAATAAAATGCAACTGCCACATATATATATATATAAACATGAGGTGGGCTGTACCAACATAATCTCATCAAGCCTGTTAAACCATTTTAGAACACGACGAAGAGACAGGTGAAATCCCAGTTTTCCATAACCAACTTTTAGATATTAATGCTATATTTCCATAGTAAAGACCCTGTTATATATCTTTATACTCAGTTCACTAAAATGTCCTTGGCGGTAGTTTTTTTTAATTCATGATGGGTATATTTGATAGTGTGATAAAGTTTTTATTTTAAAATATTTTTTTATTTTTTAAAAATTTATTTTTTTAATATCACTACATCAAAACTATTCAAAAATAAAAAAAATTAATTTAAAGTAATTTTTTTAAATAAAAAAATGACAGTTCAACTGCAACTCCAAACAATTTCTTAAATAATATATAATGTTATAGATTTAACATAAAACTATTCATATAATCTCATTTAATATTTTAAGTTTTTAAATTAGATTAGAGTTATTAAATATTATTAAAGTTAATATGAGTTAATATGCAGCAAGGTTTAGATTCTGAGTAAGTCAGGAGAATTAATTTAAATATTTTTTTAAAAAATATTATTCTAATTTAAAAAATAGAAAAAAAATCAAAGAATTTTTTACCAAATTTAAACTAGATTTTACCTGATTAATCGAATCCCAAGAACACCTGAGTTTTTAAGTGCAGGTAACTTTACAAGTGAAGATTTGCCGGACCAGCAATGAAACAAAGAAAAGAAAAATTCTTTAAAATGGTCATCGTTATTTTGATGACTGCCTGTGTAGATTCTCGTGGAAAAGATCAAAGTGCTTTCTTGTCTTCACAGTGGTTTAGAAAAGAAACAGGATTGCATGTTCTTTGATAAGAATTAATTAAATTAAAAATGAGGTGCAACATATTGATGGTTTTCTGCAAGTCTTAAGATTAAACAAGTTTTATTTAAGAGTAATAATTTTACATTGTGTTCTAAAACAAAAAACAAAAATTGAAACTTCATGGAAATTGATGGACTGAGTCACCTTCCATGAAAGATCCACCTGATCAGAGATGGGCCCGCCGTTCAATGAACACGCGGACGGCAATGCATGGTGCTCTCCCCTATAAAGAGCCTTTGGCTCCTAACAAGTATTTGATACCTTAATTTCAAGCAGAAACAGAGGTACAAATGGGATTAAACAGGTTCTCTCTGCCAGCAGTGGCGGTGATAATGATGATTAATGCCATGCTTCTATCGCAAGGGTGTTTGGAGGAAGAACGAATTGCTCTTTTGCAGATCAAAACTTCCTTTGCTGAATACCCAAATGACAATGACATTCCCCCGCTATCCTCTTGGGGAAAAGATGCCCTCTGTTGCAGCTGGTCTGGAGTTACCTGCAGCAATTCCACTACAAGACGAGTCGTCGAAATCGATCTTTCCTACGCAAGATATTGGTACTCATCTATGGGAGATTGGCACCTAAATGCATCTCTATTTCTTCCCTTCCAAGAACTCAAAGTTCTTGACTTGGCTGGAAATGGCATAGCTGGCTGTGTTGCGAATGAAGGTTTGCCTCTTCATTAAAGACTTCATCTTTCGTAATTTTAGCACGAAAATTAACATATATAAACTGAAATCGATTTATTCTTTTAATTAATCAAATAATGTTTTTAGCTTTTTACCCTAGCAAGTAACTAGAAATCTTGCATGCACGCAGGTTTCGAAAGGCTATCAAGACTTGCAAAATTGGAGGCTCTTGACTTGGGTGACAATAACTTCAACAATAGCATCCTATGATCCCTCCAAGAGCTTTCATCTCTCAAATATCTAGATCTTTATTACAACCAATTGCAAGGATCAATAAACACAAAAGGTACTTGGAACCACACATACACATCATTACAACCAATTAAAAAAAAGTTGAAATGTTAGACACACACATGTTCTATTTATTTTTTGATATGAAGTTATGAATTGATCCCTATAAGTTTCAATTTGAGAATAAGAGGCCTAAGAGGTTTATATTAACTCTTCTCTTTTATATTATTTCCTTAACTTAGAATTTGATTCATTAAGCAACTTGGAGGAGCTATGGCTGGATAGAAATGCGATACAAGAATTTATAGCCTTAACAGGTATCAATTAATTAAGGGCCATTTGATAACTCTTTTATTTCTCTTTTTTACTTTTTTTTTATGTGTTTGTCTTTGATTTTTAAATAACAGAATGCACTTGGTTTCAATCATATATTTAAATTAGTGGGAATCTAAAGTTGGGAAATGTCATTGTGACCTTTCCTCAATACCGACTTGACTTGATTCTCAACCATACTGACCTCGATTTAGGACACCTTGACCCTAGACTTTGCTACACTTCAAGCACCCTAGATTTAACTTTAGTGCTCTGCATACATCTTAAGTTTAATCTTTCAAGTCTTAGATTAAGGAGATATATACTAATGGTTGTTTTTAAAATAATTTTTAAAAAAATTATATTAAAATTATATTTTTAATATTAGCATGTCAAAACAATCTAAAAATATAAAAAATTAACTTAAAATAAACAAAAATAATAAATATAAAAAAATAAAAATAAAAATAAAATAAGTTATCTGTATTTTTTTTGTAGTATTTATTTTTATTTGTAATTTATCTTTATTATATTCCAATTCTAAAAACAAAAAAGATAAGAGGAAAGGATATGTCGGTTATATTCTGACCATGAAAAAAATAAATAGTAAATCATGATTTTTTTATGCATGGCCTAGAAAAACATATTTTTCTCTACTAGATAAAAAAATCATGAATTTCAATTACTAGTTGAAATATAAAATTAAAATAAAAAAAAATATAAATTAAAATAAGTACTATTTGAATAAGTAATACTTTGTGGTGCAAAATCATAAAAGCACATTCTCTTTTAGTATTTTATTAATTAATTCAATAAATATGTCTGTGTGAATAAAATATTAATTATACCAGATCTCTATATACCTTTATTTAAATCAAGTTACACCACAATACTACTAACTTGATCATGGGGCGGGGAGCCTCGACCAGTTCATTCTACCATTCACTATTAACCTCCCGTGACTTTGGGTGCATGGTTTTTTAAAAGGTCTCTCCTGTCATCTGCTTCTTGTTATCTTATAAATATATTAACTCTGAGTGCTTTGATAAATTAACCAACTAGGAGTTTGAAAGTACAGTAAATGTTATTTTTTTATTTTGTAATGTATAAAAAAACTATTTTTTTAAATTTATTTTTAATATCAACACATCAAAAAAAATTAAAATAATTAACCTACAATTTAATATCAATACATCATAATTGTTAAATTTAGTTTATTACCAAACCATTTGATTAACCTACAATTTTTTTTCTCAATATTTCAAATAATTAACGATTTTGAGGTGAGTGATAATCATGTAGTTGGTTTCTAAATCAAATATTTTGTCTATTAATTAAATTCTTTGAAGACAAAAGTGAATATTTAGGATTTGAGATGGAATTGATTTTGAAATTAATCACTAACCGCTTGCTATAAATATCATGCAGGCTCTGAAAGACCATCAAGACTTAACAAATTAGAGACTCTTTATTTAGGCTACAATAACTTCAACAATAGCATCCTATCATCTCTCCAAGGACTTTCATCTCTCAAATATCTATATCTTGATGGCAACCAGTTGCAAGGATCAATAAACATGGAAGGTACTTAGACCCACACGAATTGATACTCGTAAGTTTCAATTTGAGAATAAAAGGCCTAAAAATTTTATATTAACTCTTTTGTATTCTTTTCTTAACTCAGAATTTGATTCATTGAGCAACTTGGAGAAGCTATCGCTGGTTGGAAATAAGATCCAAGATTTTGTAGCCTTAACAGGTATCAATTAATTAAAAGCTATTTGATAACTCTTTTATTTCTCATTTTTATTCTTTTTTTTTTCTGTTTTTTTTTCTTTACCTCAAGTACCCTATATTTAACCTTAGTGCCCAATATCCATCTTAAGTTTAATATTTCAATTTTCAGATTAAGTATATTTGGTCTCTTTAGTGCTTATTTTGGTTTAAATTTTATTTTTATTATATTTTAATCCCAAAAAAATAAAACAAGAGAGGAAGGGATAGGTAGGTCATGTTCCTACCATAAAAAAGACCAATCATGATTATTGTTTTTGGTCCAGGTAACCTAGAAAGACATATCTCTCCCTGCTAGATATAAAAAAAATAAAAAATTATGAATTTCAATTTTTAATATACCAAATATTAAAATAAAATATTATTTAAATAAATAATACTTTGTAAGGTAATCCACCATAAAAGCACATTCTCTATTTTATTAATTAATTAAATAGTTGTGCCAAAGTGTGAATAATATATTAATTATACCAAACCTCTACCTTTCTTTATTTAAATCAAGGTACATCACAATACTGTTTTAGATTTTAGGTGTGTTTGGTGTTATTGTTGAACTATTATTTTATTATTTTTTGAATTTTTTTGTTTTATAAATAAATTTTTAAAAATAAAAAAATATTTTTTATATAATTCCAAATTTTTTTTTTGAAATCTTTACTATACAAATTCTCAAATAAAAAATAGATTTAATCTTAGCGCTCTACATCCATCTCAAGTTTAATCTAAATCTCAGATTAAGGAGATATCTTAGAGGAGAGGGTACTAATAATTATTTTTTTAAATAATATTTTTTAAAAAATTAATATTAGCACATCAAAACAATCTAAAAATACTAAAAAATTAACTTGAAGTAAACAAAAAAATAACAAAATTTAAATTTTTTTAAAAACACTTTTTTTTTTAAAAAAAAAGAGGTTCTAAGTATATTTTTTCTTTGTATTGTTTATTTTGATTTAAAATTTATTATGATTATATTCTAATCCTAAAAAAATAAGACAAGAGGAAGGGATATGCCCATGAAAAAAATCAATCATAAATTATGATTTTTTTTATGCATGGCTTAGGAAAACATATTTTTCTCTGCTAAATAAAGACAATCATGAATTTCAATTACTAATATATTAAATGTTGAAATATGAAATTAAAATTAAAAAAATATAAATTAAAATAAGTACTGTTTGAATAAATAATACTTTGTGGTGCACCATCATAAAAGCACATTCTTTTTTAGTATTTTATTAATTAATTAAATAAATATGCCAATATGTGAATAAAATATTAATTATACCAAACCTCTATGTATCTTTATTTAAATAAAGCTACATCACAATACTACTAACTTAATCCAGGGGCGGGGAGCCTCAACTAGTTCATTCCACCATTAACTATTAATCTCCCGTGACTTTGGCTGCATGGTCTTGTAAAAGGGCTCTCTTGTCATCTACTTGTTATTATCTTATAAATATATTAACTCCTTGTTATCTTATAAATATATTAACTCTGAGTGGTTTGATAAATTAACTAGTTGGAGTATGAAAGTACAAAAAATATTATTTTATTTATTTTGAAATGTATAAAAAACTTGTTTTTTTATTTTTTATATTTATTTTTAACATCAATATATCAAAAAAAAATTAAAATTAATATAAAAATATAATTTTAAGCAGAAACCAATAATCAAATTTTGAAAAAACATATTAAATCTCAATACCAAACATGCACTACAAGCTTATTCGGATGCACTACAAGCTTATTCGGTGTTGCAGTTGAACCGCTATTTCTCTATTGTTTTTTATTTTATATTTGTATTTTTTAATTTTTTTAATGTACTAATATCAAAAATAAATTTTAAAAATAAAAAAAATATTATTTTAATATATTTAAAAAAAAACACTTTAAAATATAATTTCTACTACCCTTTCAAAGAAGCTCTAATTAGATGATGAATCATAATTGTTAAATTTAGTTTGATACCAAACCATTGGATTAACCTAACATTTTTTTTCTCAATATTTCAAATAATTAATGATTTTGAGGTGAGTGATAATCATGTAGTTGGTTTCCAAATCAAAGATTTGTCTCTTAATTAAATTCTTTGAAGACAAAAACAAATATTTAGGATTTGAAATGTAATTGATTTTGAAATTAATCACTAACCGCTTGCTATAAATATCATGCAGGCTCTGAAGGATCATCAAGGCTTAACAAATTGGAGACTCTTAATTTAAGCTTCAATAACTTCAACAATAGCATCCTATCATCCCTCCAAGGGTTTTCATCTCTCAAATATTTAGATCTTGATGGCAACCGATCTATATCTTTATGACAACCAGTTGCAAGGATCAATAAACATGAAAGGTACTTAGACCCACACGAATTGATACTCGTAAGTTTCAATTTGAGAATAAAAGGCCTAAAAATTTTATATTAACTCTTTTGTATTCTTTTCTTAACTCAGAATTTGATTCATTGAGCAACTTGAAGGAGCTATCGCTAGCTGGAAATAAGATCCAAGATTTTGTAGCCTTAACAGGTATCAATTAATAAAAGGCCGTTTGATAACTCTATTATTTCTTATTTTTATTCTTTTTTTTTGTTTATTTTTTTTACTTCAAGTACCCTATATTTAACCTTAGTGCCCAATATCCATCTTAAGTTTAATATTTCAAGTTTTAGAATAAGTATATTTGATCTCTTTAGAGTTTATTTTAGTTTCAATTTTATTTTTATTATATTTTAATTCCAAAAAAATAAGACGAGAGAGGAAGGGATATGGAGGGCATGTTTCCACCCAA